CTGTGCGAAAAGGAAAGTCAGTATAGTGTGAAAATTGAACTGTAATGGAGAATTTGTTGCCAACACCTTCAATAAACTCGGTTTTTTTCTGTTTCTTATTTTCAGAACGTGCATTTCTTTCACATACCATAGTGTAAATTTGATTCAACAAAACTGAATAACAGCACTGCATTTTATTTCTCATTATTTAATAAAATGAAGAGAACAAGAAAAAATATAGAAGCCTGGATTTCTAAAGAAATTAGAAAAATCAATAAGGAAGCACCGTCATTCGGACTATCGTCTGTTGTTGAACAGGATGCTATCATTTCTGCAATTTTTCCATTTCTCTGTGTAATATGATCGAACACTTGAATCAGTTTCGATATTGCTCGACGACTGCAATATTAACATGCCTTATATCAATATTTCACTACTGTTTACCTTATATAAAGTTTGAAACTAAACCTTTAACTGAATTCTTTGAATCACTTTTGTTCCTATGTTACCAGCAAAGCTCATAAGCTATTGGTATAATAAGATCAAAAAGATATCAGGAAAAAGCTGGACCATGATGACTAATAACCTCAGAGAGTTTGAAAAATTAATTGGTGATACCGAACAATGATAAGACGTCCATACTGACCTGAATTCTACCCGTTGCTTTAATTTTTCTTCAGTCTCTCCATCATCCCAGTGAGCCAATTTGGCAAGAAAACTTTTGGTCTCTTCACACTCCACTGAAACATGTATTCTACTCAAAAACTGCTAGAGAATTTTCCAAAATCAATTTTAAGGTAGTATATTAGTCAAATTCTATATGGTAAACACCAGGCATATAATTCACCGCTATTATATTCAACTTAACCAGGAAAGCAAAAAAATATAACAAATGCCAAACAAATCTAGAAATTTAAATTTGAATGTAAATGTAGGTTTAAAAACAAATCATGATCTAAAGTAACTAGTAATATAGCTATTTGTATATCTATTTTTCTTGACTCCCTTATCACAAGTCATACTCGCATTTCGATTTCATTACTTCATCCTACCACTTATTTCAAGTTTTTGAACATTAGATTTTTATTTGAACCTTATAATTGGAAAGCAATGAAAAATCAGTTAAATACTTACTTTTGATCTCACCTTCCACCGCTGTTTCGGCATCAAACCTTTGCAGTAATGTCCTAACATTTTCATCGAACTGAAAACCACTCATTTCTGATTATAATTTTACTTTTACAAAAAAGGAATTTAGATTGCATTGTAAGACCAAGTTGAGTTATTCCAGTTGAATTATTTCACCGCACTAAATCTTATAATAGTTGACACCTTCTGCGCACAACAGTATATAGTGTGACATCTTTCTCGGCATACGTTACAAAAACTGCACACTGAAAACGCTTAGAAATTTGATAACTGCCGCTTACCAGATTCCAGAAACGGTTAATGGTGCACATCATCGCATCATCTTGAGCTTGCCTACTTTCCAGTTGTTCGACACGATGTTGTAATTGTGTCGCCTGACGTTCCTTGAGACGAAAACGTTCAGACAATTTGTAATGCTGAACCGCCAAAACTTTCGCATCGATATCGCTCTAAAAAAACTGGAACTGTTCGAAATGATGGAAAAATGATATCTCAAACTGAAACACGCCAAAACAAAAAATAAAGAGCTTGTTTGAAAGAGCTATAAACAAAAAGTTATTTGAAAGCATTTCACTCACTATATTCAAATCTGTCATTTTCAAAAAAAGACGAAGAAATATGGGAAAATATGAAAAACTATGAAAAACTTCAAAGTCAAGCTAGGTATATTCTAAGATCTAAGATATGCAGTTCTCAGACTGCCATAGTTCAGATGGAGAAACATTTCCAGACTAAAAATGTACAGCTTAAAAAAAAAGTTCTTTTCTATAATTCAAACTGTTTTCATAAAATTCAAGACAAAGAAATGAAAATTTACCGTCCCACTAACTGAGCAGATGCGAACAGGTTCAAATTCAACAAGCCTTCGTTTACTATAAAGTGGTTCATCTGCTGATGCACCAGGAGAGTCATCATCACTCCCCGGTGATGAACGTTTTGACATTTCCACTAAGTGTCTGAAAAAAGAAATTAGGAAATAAGAACATATATTACTTGATGCCAAAGCATGAATTTTTCTCCCAACCTTTTTTCTCTGCGTATTTTAATCCTGAGAGCTTTTAAATAAAGCCAACGTGAATGAAAGTCCTCATTAAGCATCTAAATATAAGTAGAAGCTTCGAGGAGAATACAAAACACTTTTACTGCAGAGCCGGAGAAAAAAGTCCTCATAAGGATTTTTTGCAAATAGCAATACGTAAATCAACATTCCATGCAATGAAGAATGGACATGCTTTTCTTCCTAATGTTCTCGCCTGTAAAATCCAGCAACTCTCTCAGTACCACAACTAAATGAGTTAGCAGTATTTCGATACAAGAACGAATAATTTTAGAAATATAATAATATCTCCTTTAATCGAGAAAGGAAAGTTAAATTCTCACAAACAATTGAAACATTCCTAGATACCTCCTGAAAACCCTTCAAGCGTGACTTGTTACCAGGACCACGAAAAAAGCACAATGATAATATTGCTTGTTGATACTACCAGGGATAAATCTACTTCGTTTTTTTTCGGCAATGAGCAGATTTCTGTGCGAAAAACATTTCCAGTCTTTCATTTTTCTTTTCTTTAGAATTAAGAATTATTTTATAATTAATACTCGACTGTCAGATGTCTTTTTAGATACAGAAATGTGATATCTCCCTTCCTGAACTAAGAGTAACCGCTTCTCTCACTTCACAAACTGTTTTCCCACCCGGTCTGAAATATTAGCTTTCTTGGAACCACATTCATATCTCTGTCCCACAAATAAATAGAAAAACTGACGAAGTCTCAGTTTGCTGATACCAAATTACCAGGAGTTCCAGGTCGTCATGTGAATTGTTTTGTTCAGTTTCTTCATAAAGTCATTGAGTTCTACCATGAACACAAATTGTAGATAAATTTGTATGGATGAGTTATCAGATTCAAATTCATTCATACTAAATTCATGTAAACACATAAAAAATTTACTTACTAAAATGAAGTCTAGAATTGTCGCAATGCTGCTGTACAGATTCTTGTATAAATGATAATATCCTTAGAAGAAAATTTCCTGAAGCTATAATGATCGGCTGAGCCACTATGGTAACGTTCCTTATTAAAGAACACAACCGCTCAGAATTCCTGAAAAACAAGGAAACAGATTTCATAGACTTTTTCGCTAAATATTATTCTGCTATAAAAACCTATGCATCGTAATTTCTGACAACCGGCCACGATGCTATGACGGTTAGTTAATTCTGGGGACCTGCAGAGGACCTGAAATACAGGAAACCGGAGGACTAACTGGGGAGAAACCTCAAGTCTTTTGAACAAATTCATCTGCTATCTCCCCCCTTTTCTCCTTTGATTTTTTCCAGCTGTTAGTTCTGTCCACTCTTTCAAAATAAATACCATTTGCTGGCCCATACGCTGTATAACACCCGTTATATGACATCCAGAACCCATTCTACAAAAGCAATTAAGACAACTTCTCCATAGCCAATCATCCTTATTAGATGAGTAAGCTAGAAAATTTGACCCTCCTTTATTCAAGGCATCTAACATTTTAACGGTCCAATCGACTTTGGTCTTTATGTATCCCGTCAAGAACTGAATTTTGCATTTCTGTTGCACAAACAAAAGTGATTCTGCTCAAACACTTGACGAAAAAAAGTATCGGCGATGCAGTGACGGTGCTTTCATCATCACGTAGGTCTAGCTGGCATTTCTGTTATCAAATAGTTTCCAGTGATGTTTTCGCTGTCATATATTAGTCATATAAACTGGGCATAACGGGTCGACTTCACGTAATTTCATATTTTTCATTTAAACCTTCTTTCATCGATTTCCATTTTCCATCCGACACTTCATGATCAGGGTCTACCTTTGACTTAACATGGATCATTTGCGGCATACACCTTGCCTGTTACCATGGTAACCATTCGGGATCTCCACCTCGAATCAGTCAAACCCCTCTCCCCGTCCAATTTCAACCTTACCCTTAATCAATAGCATCTTTCAATATATCCCTCCGATAATCTTTCACCTACCGTAAGCACCTTCCACATTGTCATCTTCAACTCCTTTTCAACGAACTATTCCCCTGCTAGCCCCAGGATAACTTTAAAAACCAGTTCCCACTATCAAGATCTCCTGAAAGGACCTCTCGGTGATCATTCCAATCAATCACATAATACCCATTACCTACAAACAACGAAAACGTCCCCAAAACCGCACACAACACCGAAACACTTACATAACAATGATTTATAAAAAGGTTTGCAACGGAAGGCACGAGCCCTCATCTTTAACCACATATATAACATACCGTACGTCAGGGATTCGTTTCCGAACGCACTCATCTTTCGCAGCTCAAAATCCTCTTTTAATCAATATTGTTTCCTGCTTTGTATTTTTGATCTCTTCCTGTCTGTTGGGAGGCAATTGTTTCACGTCATTCTCTTCCTATGTCTAATTCATGGCCGATTTTGTTCGAAGTGATTTATAGAGGAAGCGAAGATTTGTGTGATATATTCCCTTCATATCGTATAACTTTGGTGACTTTTGGCACCCGTGATAGTCTACCTCGAGACGAGCTTTTATCCCAAGCGTGATGGTTTTTTAGTTTCTTAAGGTTGAGTGCCGTTATTCATTTAAATCACTTTCCAATATACAAAAATGATGTATGATCATTAGATCTGTATGATCTATTTCATTTACCACTATCCCTTTTCTCTTTGTAGTATTTTCACGCTTCGGTTAAAGGATTCAAGAGATGTCAAGCTGATGTGTTAAGATATCTGCTAATTTCCCCACCATTTGGAACATTTCTTACTTTGGTGATTTTGTCTTATTGCGATGTGATCGTGTTTAACGACTACATCGAAATAGCTGTAGGAATAGAAGTTGGTTTTAGATGTCGATTTTACCGGAGGAAAGAAGGATACTGTTAGAAAGGTTGAATCTAAAGACATCGACAAGTGATATTGAACGATTTTTCACGAGATGGGGTCCACTTTCCGAATGCATTGTCATGTTTGACAAGGTATACCGTTTACATTTAGTAATGCTCTACACACCACTGCTGGAAGCCAAGTTACTCGCGCAATCACCCACATATATGTTTTTTTTTCTCTCTGCAATGACTTTCGTTAATTATTAATTTGTGTTGAAATAAAAAATCGAAATTACTGGCTAATGAGAACTCCAGTCATTCTATACTTTTTGAAACTCAGATTAATTTCAGAATACGAGGCGTTCTCGAGGATACGGGTTTATTTGTTTTGTTTGGGATCATCACTGTGAGGAATGCCTCGAAGCGCAACCACATTCAATAGATGGTGTACAGATTGAAATGCGTCCAATCAAAGGCGTTAGTCAATTCATTTAGTCCTGTTAATGTTTCGCCATTTCTGATATTTAGTATCAAGACTTGGTTAAGAATTTATCTTTAAGAAACTTGTCTAAGAATATTCTTATGTTCCTTATTTCATTGGATATTTAGGTATCTTCAAATCCGATTGTCAAATATGTCAGCACACGAAAAATTCTAGTCTCCTACCTTGGTGCACAACTTGTAGTCGATGAACTCGAAGAATATTTTTCAAAATTTGGTATAGCTCATGTTGATTGTGCCCTGGATACACTAAATGAGGTTCAGCTTGTTTAACTTTAGGTCTGGATACTGCTGAGGATTGCTAAAAAGTGCATAACAGACACTCAGACTTTCGACTTTAGAATTATGTTTAATATAGCAGTTGAAAGATTGTGGTTATAGCGACGTCCAAGATACTTTAAAAGAGCCAATACTGAAAATATGCAAAAGAAAATTGTGGAACAGTTTCAAAGGCATATCGAAATTATTCATCTGCTGGATGGTTTCAGAAGCCGTTGTATTTTGCGTATGTTACATTTGACGAAGTTGAATCGTGTGATAGCTGTATAAATATCGGAGAACATTGCGTTAGTGGTTACCATATCTTTATTCGAAAAGTAATTCGACGAGAGGATCTCAAAAAAGCGGAACAGATGGAACGTGTTCGAGCAGTTTGTGAAGCTCGAATTCAGGAGGAATTGCAAGAAGAAGCGGGAAGAAAAAGACGTCATTTGGATCGAAAATTGCGTGAAAATTATGCAACGGAATTAGCTTTGTTGCGGCCGCCTCCACCTCCACCACCTGCTGCTGCACCATTACGAGAAAGTATTGAAGACCCAACGCCATCAGCCTCAAGTTGGGTTCCCCTGTTACCTAATGAACAATTCCAGGAATACGGTGCTTCGCACCTTGCTGGTTACGGGCCACAACGTCGAAAGCCCAAGCAATGTGGTACGTTTACAGGTGGTGTCATTCATTATTCCGATTTTAGGAGACCGTATTTTTAGCCTGCGTCTTTAGCTAAGCAGTTGCTTTTGAGAAAAATGTGTTAGAGAAAGAAGGTATTAGTGAATATGAATTTACTATGCCCACAGATTAATCAGGGCAGAGTGAGCGGCATTTTCCGAGTTGTTTCGGTAAGTGAGAAAGAAAGGATGGAGATTTAAGATGAGTTCTTAGCTTTCACTCTGAGTTCGATCGGTTTTTCAGGTTCACATCTTTCGCGACACCCTGTAGGAACTGGAACATCACAGTGGATTCCACTGCCGCATGGCAGTATATCTTCGCCCTCCGACGTTGTACGACGATATTCTACGTCAAGCGAACCATTCAGTGATCGATCTTGACACTGGATGCGATTGCTGATGAAGTTAGTAGTAATGAAAGTTTCTTGTTGTGATCGGTGATTGTTGTTGATGTGTCTTGCTGTTTCACTTTCATCTGTGCTGGATATCCTAACCATCGCTGCAATTATAAAAAAAAACTCTTGTTATGATTTTCCAATTTTTGCTATATTTTAACCATATTTCTATGAAAGAGTTACAAGATTTCATATTTATGAATCCATGACACTCTTGCACAGCTTTGGATGTTTAGATCTTTTGTTTTGGCAGAAGAACAGAAAATTTATTCATTCTTCCACGTTGTCAAAGTGCTGCTTCGAAAAGGATATGTACTCAGTCACGTTTGGTAGATTTGTCTTATGTGGGCATTACAAATTTGCATAAAGTTTTCCGTTTACTTTTAGCCGTTAAAAATTTTTAAAGCTGAATTTAGAAATGTGTACAGTTTCTAAGCTGAGCCAAATCCAGTATTTGGTTTTCTTCATTTTTGATAATTTTGCAAATCGTGATGTGGCAATATTTCAGACGTAGAGGCGGATGGGTGTTCGTAGTTAGTGGTGTGGTATAATTGTTTGGAATTATTTTGTTTTGCAGATGTATGAGGTGGATTTTGCAAAGACTGCCACAGCTCCATTGTCAGCACCGCTGGAGTTCGATATAAGAGAAACTTTTTCGAAGGTTTGTATTTATGAGTTCCGTTTTTCGCGACTTAAACTAGTAGGATTGGACTTACTTGCTTTCAAGTTTCATTTTCTGGATGCTATACATTATGGTCGTTTCCACAAAAGCAAAACATATATATCGGCTCGGATAAAAACCCAAGATTCTTATTGGTAAATAGAATGTTTATTATTGCTGGTTTTGCATTCTTTTGAATAATCATTTCAGTAATGCGTCAGTTTGCGAAGTTATGCGAAAATATGCAAAATTTTCAGGTCATCCACATATGGAAAGAACGTTGTCATACAGTGAACAGACGCTTGTTAGGCATTATTTCAGTGAACGAACAGAATCCTAAGCTTGGTCATCTATTGACAATCTCTAACGTATTTTCAAAAAATGTTGAAATTCGTAAATTCATTCCTAGATCACCCGACATTTTTTCGACTTGTGCATATGAAGCTTCTTTTTGGTTAGATTCGTTTTATTTTAAAAGTATACCCTTATTGAAAATAAATATTGAAACTAAACTCGATCAAAGTGAAATTTATTGTGTTGAAAATGAAATAATGGATTTTCGGGATTCAAATTAAAATTTTTTTCAAAAAGTCTCAGGTTTTTTAGGATTTGACTCTCAGCTCTCTGCTTTCGGCAATGTATTTGGCACTACGGCAACTGGAAGTGAAATTCTATAACGACCTGAGACTTTCTCGTTGAAAAATCTAACTGGATCGAAAACCACTTACATCAGCTATTAACTGTAAATTAAGACTAGTAATTAAGATCGTACAGTTTAGATAAGCATGTTGTGGAATTTCGGCCGTATGTACTGGACGAGAAGCGACATCCCCATGTTTCTTTCCCATATCGGTTTGCTTTGGAAGAAGTCTCACATCAGCAATGGTGCGTTGCTTGAATGGTTATGTGTCACTGCTGTTTTTCATAGTTGTGACGATGAGTGCGTTAATCATTTAGTTAGTAGTATTTCTGATGACTTATTTTCTTTTTCAGGAATCTAAGTCTTTTCGTCTCTAACGATGCGATTAATTATATTTGGCTGCAAAAAGTCGCATTTCCGCGTTTATTAAAGTAAGTTTCTGTAACATCTTGGGTTTTGATTTTGTTTCAAAGATTTCACCATTTTGTGCTTCTAGATGGTTTGCTGACAATGGTGAACGCAAAAATATCACAATTTCGCATAGATTAGTTAACGTGGAAGATTATTCCCAGTTCTATTGTGAAATCAAAAATAAATGGGGTCAACAAATTGCAGCAGTAAGTCTTTCCACTGTTTTAATGGTTAAAATTGCTGTAATTACTAACATCGAATCGTTTTGCACAACATACTAATAGGTCCGAATTGCTGATCAGTTCGTGTGCTTTTGTGGTTTTTCGCCCGAATTGGCTTAACCTTTCAAAATTTCCTTTAAAAACATTTATTGAACATTTGTTTCTTTTTAGACCTGGGCAGAAAGAACGAATCCACAGAAATTTGTTTATGAAGACTGCGCTATTGCGGCTTACCTAATTGTGAGTAAAAAATTTTTGTGTTAAATGCAGCAACAAATCCATTTTTTTTTTACGAATTGCTGAAAAAGTAAATTTCAGACCTATTGGCGGCAGAAAGGCCTTTCACCACAAAGATTTTGTGATATTGGTTGTGGCAATGGCTTGCTTGTACATCTCTTGCAAAGGATGAAGGCTTGTTTTTTTGTTCAGTTATTGCATTTTTTGGAGGATGAGAAATTCATTAAAAAAGGATTCTCCATTATCATTTTTGATCAGGATGCGAAGAAAGTCTTGGAGGTCTCATCAGATACGATAAGTTTACAGATAAATGGTTATGGAATCGATTTAAGACAGCGCAAAATATGGACGAAATTTGCTGAAACTGATTTGAGAGAAAAAACACTGAATCCTAAAGAGGATTTGTTGAGCGATAGCGATTTTCTCATTGGGAATCACACAGATGAATTGACTCCTTGGATACCTATTATGGCTGCTAGGTTAAAATAATTTTGTGAAGCTTGAGATTTTTAACAAAGAAACAGCATACCCTTGCAATCAGTCAGGAATGTAAGAATATTTCAGGAATGTAAGAAGGTTCTTTGCTAAAAATATTCATTTTTGATTAGAATTCATATGCAGAATATCCACTTTTTTCACTGTTTATTGTTGGAATCTTTCAGAAACTCTTATTTTTAAACAGAGTTTTCAAAAATCAGTTAATATTAAAAATTTATTCTATAGCCCTCAATTTCAGATCAAGAAGTAACTTCTTCTTACTGCCGTGCTGTCCATTCGATTTTTATAGTCGTTTTCAAAAAAAGTGTGGTATGGCTACTACTAGTGTGTATTCTTCTTATCTTCTGTTTATTCGCGATATCTGTTTGAGGTAAATTTGACATTACTTCAGTAATGATGAACCTTTTTGGAAGATCAGCAAATCATCTTCGCTGAATTATTCTCAAAAGCTCTGAGCCGCTCGAAAAATGTTTAGGCTAGGTTACTGCGTTGAAGAAGATCGGCTAAAAATTCCGTCAACGAAACGTTATTGTTTCCTGTGCACAGTACCTGCTGGTGGGTTAGTAGAAAATGTGGAAAATGTCATAAATAATATGCTGGCACATACAAATTTATCAAATTTCTTGCCGAGAAAGAAAGTTGAAAACGTAGGTTGCGCTTTGATTTGATGAAACTTTTCTAAGGATTTTGTAAAGTTCACCATTTTAGTTGGTAAAATAAGAATGTTGTATATGAAATGGAATTATTGCTAGTTTTCCTCTAAATTTTAAAACCTGCAAATTTGTTGTGGAATAAGTTCGTAGCTAGTCTTATTAAAAATTGGTTTTTTTAAAATTAAAATTGATTTTTATTTAAGAATTGGTTTTTTGCTGAGAGTGTTTTTATACGCAAATTTTGGTGATTTCAGATAAAAAATTGTGCCAGATTTTCTCGGGGCTTTCAGCAGGCGCTCACTACAAAGATATTCAATCATCTTTTCGAGCTATCACCGAACAAAGCAACAGTGTATATGTTTGCATTTCTGAACTTTAAAACCTGATTTCGAACTTTTTAGGTTAGAGAGCAGATTCTATGAAAACTTATTAATTAATTAGGAAATATGGGTTGTAAATGTTGATAATATTCTCTGCATTAAATCATGTATTGCAGCTGTTGGAGCAAAGGGCGATCATGCTCTTTAAAAGAAATAGCTGATCTACTTAATGAGGAAGAAAAAGCGCAGCTTCGAAATTCAGACGGTGGTTTGCAAACATTCTTGAAAAATCAGCATCAAATTTTCAAAGTAAGATACAAATGCGACCAAATTTTTTCAGGTTAACAGACATTTAAAAAAGCGGTGGTGTATGGTCCTCTCATTCTTATCATTACTGATGCAATGGCAGAAACCGAATCTTTTAAATTCCGACTTCCTATTTTCAGTCATCAAATAATTTCAGATAGTTAAAGGCAGTGTCTCAATTCGTAATTGGGCTGAAGAGGGCAGTCGAAGAGTCGAGGAAAAATTGAGGACAAGAGATTGCTGGTTCCATAAATATCATCCTAGCGGTTGTCCACTATCTGAAGACTGCTCTTATAAACACTGAACTTTTGAATTCTTCACACACATCCCACTGAATTGGTTTATTGAACTGTGATGAAGCAAAGAAATTCATTTTATGATTTAAATACAGTGAGATTTGACCATCGTTAAATGAGGATTTTCTCTTCCTCATTTGACTTTGTCAGAAAATTGTTCCCACAAAAACTATTTAAGGGCTTTATTCCCTCACTTCTTACTTTTACTCCCCTGTTTTCTCTCGACATATTTTAAGTGACGAAATTTCAAATAATACAGAGTGGTCAGCTTTTTATACTGTCATCAAACCCGATGTAGAAAATATGAGTCACATTTGTTAGCAACCTTATTCTGAACTGTGATGAAACAAAATGCTTGCGGCTCATCCGTCAGCGTGATTTCATGTGACTCGACATCAAACCGATTACCACCTAGTTCGTTAATACGCCTTACATCAATTATCTAATAAGCAGCGATGTTGCGCAGTTCCAATGTAATGGTCAAAATTTTGCTAGGAGAAAACTTGTTTATAATGACGCAAGAATTAATACCATACAATGAACAGCTAGTTATATGTGCATTGCTATAAATCAATCAAAATGAAGGCATTTTTTGCAACCGAAAAATTCGCAACACTACTTATGCTTACAGCTTACGAATAGTCATACATATCTTTTACAGTTTGGAAAATGCCAGTACCTGGAGCTACAATGTTAGATGAAAAAACTGATAGTTATTAAAATGAATACAAGTAAATGCTGCAGACATGAGGTCAATTTCAGTTCTATTCACCATTGAAAAACGGGTAATTTTTCCGGCTCCACTTTCTAAGCGGAAACTCAAGTGGTAATTGAAGCACGGTCCTTCGAACCTAGAAACAATTCTGGAAAATTAATGCTTAGAGAGTATTTCTTTTTAATCTAAATCTTTCAGTTTAACTTTAAATTTCTTAGAGTATTCGCTAAGTGGGCATGTGACGGCAACAACCTGCGACTGTTTTTGATGGCCGTAGAAAAAGTGAAAACGACGACTTTTCCCTCGCAAAATGTCAAAAGATTAAACAGCTCACAGTTGTTCCCGAAGTCCGGGGTTTACAGTGAACTAGTAACACCACCGGTATCTCTGGAACCTGGTGGGGTATTTATTTTAGATATTTACACCTTCAGAACTAACAATTTACAAAAACAAACTAGAATTTTTGGACGAGATCGATCGGTAGAGAGATATTTAAATTCAAACTGATATACCGCTATCTATTACAGTGCCCGTTGTTCTTGACGCTCCCTCATGATAATTACTGCTTCCGGGAACTGGTGATTGCTCATTTGTCTGAACACTAGAAATGTTAAGAAGTTACTCAAGAATATTTCCCAATCAACAATTTACTGAGTAATATTGATTACAACAGGGTGTCCCGCTCTTTATACATGGCCAAAACCCTGCAAGATACTTTCTTGGGCGCTACTTTAGACCGCCAAATTGTTAGTTTTTCGTTAGCTGGATCTTTGAATTTTAGATGAAAGTATTTGAGTGATTAATTTGTAAACTTAGTCCATAAAATTTATGGTATTCCTTTCCTCAGAAGATAGCCATTTTTTGATTCGCAACTTTTTTGACCGCAAAGCTGGCCCGCCTTCAATTACAGATTTTTAAAGCAAATTTTTCTTTTCGCGACCAGATACACATCCCCACCCGAGTTCGATTGTATTTTAATTTCTTATCTGAATTTTCAGCTCTTTGAATGATAGTGATAACTTACAGGCGAGGAGTTCCTTCATCATCTGCATCATGTGCATCATCGAAAGACAACCTTTGTGAGCAACCGCGATCTTTTGCTGCAACAAATTCAAATTAAAAAAAAAAATGAAGGAAAGAAAGTATAATAAAGATTAAAACAACACTGTTCAGAAATCATTTCGCGGAATTCATAGAAAACTGAAGACGCATTAAGCAACATACCAATGAATGTTCCTTCCGGTGTATAAATGGTATCAATATTTTCTTTGGTGAACCGATTACGGCCTTGTTCGAGGTACAACGAAATGATCGAACGAGTCATCACATTACCACCTAAAGTATATTAGATATGGAATTTCTTCTAACGCTGATATTTTCAACTTAAGTTCTTTTCACTTCATTTTTTTTTTTTTTTTTTTTTTGGTCAACAAATCCGTAGAATTTACTTTCGTCCCATTTTCTTACTTTTTTGCTTCAATTTTTTTAAACATTTTTCATTTGAATCTAAATTTCCAAAGCACAAACTCAGTTAATTTCAATCTTCGCAAAAATTTTGTTGTTTTATCAAATTACTTTATAAAAATCCTATGGAAATGGACGATGTACCATAGTGTAAAAGATGTAATCGTACGAATATCGCAAGGTGCATTGCAAATGTTGGACACATTTCCCTTTTAATAACCAATAAAAGATAGCTATAAGCTAACCCACCAGTGCTACTTTATTTATTTGCGAAATTTCAAACTTATATTCAAAAATGATGAATGTTTTTCTGAAACTAATCTATACGTGATTGTGAAGATCTATGCGGAGTAACTGAAGAAGGAGGACGTCGTTCACTTTGACATAAACGAGTCGAGCAAACACTCACTGGCTGAGGGCTACGATATTTCCTGAAAGCGGCCAAATCATTCTCAAATGATGTAAATATGTTTTGATGTCGTTATATGATGCCAAGATGTCTATTTTGCACTATTTACCGAAATTCTAATAAAGTCTTCGTAAATAAATTTAAAGCCAATAAATTGAACAAAAATTTAAAAGTTTAATTTCCCACAGCTTACACTGCACAATCAGCTTTTACGGAGTTTGGCTCTCCTTCGGATGTGGACGACTCCATTTCCTCAATTTTGTACCGCAATAAATCATTCTCCTTCAGCATTGATTCGGACATTACTGCTTGATTACGCGCAGAACGCTGTAACTCTTCAAACCTGGATGTCAAAACCCTGCAAAAATTGAAATTTGAGGAAAAGCCTTCTTGAAAATTGAACCAATCCTTTGTAAATCTACCATAATTTCATACGAAGCAGTTACTGCATCCCCATAACCTTCAGGGAACATGATATTGATAACACACTTTTCTGTACTGGTTTTCTGATCCACCAGTATTTTCAGCTCACGAACACGATGCTTTAGCTTGCTTATTTCAATATCTTTCAATGGAATCTCCTCCACTTTCAGTTGCAGTTTTGCATTCGAATGTCTCAGTGTTTTGATTTCTGTTGATTTAATTTCCAATGCCGTATTCAAGCTGCTGATTTCTTTTGATAGCTCCTAAAATTCGAACTTCACGATTCACCAGAATGAAAAGAGAAACTGCAACTCATTTGAAATGAGCTGAAAATTGGTACTCCTAGCTCTGTTTAGTCATTTCCGCTTCAATTTAAAAGTACTGAATACAGTTTCGCAAAGGCAATGCACCGCAGTTCCAATGAAAAAATATCGTTCTATCATTTTTTTGAATCAATTCTAAAGAAAATTAAAGGGAGAAAAATGTGAAAAGTTATTTGTAGAATGAAGCCATCAAAATTCAATTCATTTTAAGAAAGATTTACCGCAACTTTTTCATTTGTATCCTTACTCAGTGTTGCTTCAAGATTTTTCTTATCCCGGATAAGTTCTTCCACCACTTTTTCCGCTTCTGCCAACTTGCTATCCAAATTGGCGCATTGGATTTGATTCGAACGGCTGAGTCGTTCGATTTGCGCTTCATGAATGCAACGTTGTTCATCCAATGTTCGCATTAACTCATCATTACATTCCACTAACTAAAATAAACTACAACATTGTTAACTGTATTCGATTTTCTTATCATCAGTTTATCATTGAAGGCTGTAAAAACGCTGCTCGACAACTCTCTTCCAAGAATGATTAAACTTAACAACCAATAACAATAGAAGCACAAGAAGTGCTAGGCTTGTTTTGTCAGGTGTGTGGCATCTCCAAGCCTCTTTT